AAGTCCCCTATCTGTACATAGAACTAGCAGCTAGTTAGTGACGCCCAGGGCTTACCCCCTGGCGGCCTTTGCCCCAATAGGGGACGGTAGGACACGTGCTTAGGCGGTGTCACACGGCCGTAAAATACAACAACAACAATTGATAGGGGCCTGAGGCCTAGCCTCAGGCCGACGACACACGGTCTGTCATAGCCCTAGGGGCTCGGTATGGACAGTAAACTTGATTAAATAATAAATTAATAATAATATTTTTTATTAAGGTATATATCTTGAAGATGGAGGGCCGTATTCGTGAAATTTGAACCTATTTAAATATAAATTAAGATTTTTTTTGTGATTCTATACTGATCTCTATTTATTGAACCTTGATATACATATTTAGTCTAATTTCGTCACCCTAATTTTAAATAAAAATTAAAATCTCGTTTGAAGCTCTCTCTGCCCGCTTGAACGAACGAGCAGCGAATGTAATATTACAAAAATATTAATAATATTGTTTACCTTTCAAAAGCGGCTAAAGGAAAGAAACAATCCCTGAAAATGGATTCAAAGTATTCTTACTGTGGTAAGAAAGGCCATACAAAGGAAAACTGTTGGGATCTCTATCTAAAAAAGAAGCCTAAAAAGTATTGTCAGTTTAAAAAGGAGCAGCCTGCCGCTTTAAAAAATTCGATTAAACCACTATATCAAAGGCTGTTAAATCATTTGAATTGATTAATCAAAACCTCCCATTTAAATATTTTATAGGCGCCACTACATGGCCTAGTGAGGTTCTGAAGCAGTTTATTGATCGAATTAATCATTATTGAGACGAATTGCCTCATTGTTTTGTACGAAAGGAACACTATTTTTTATATTTTATTGTTTTTAAATAGTCTTATCTTGGCCGGATTGGGATAGAGTGTGGAAGATCTAAATGCTTCAAGTAATCTGTTAAACCTTTGTTAAAGGTAAGTTCTGAAGAATACTGTACAAAGTGGAAGATTCTTTGATATCGGCCATAAATATTACGTGAAATCAATGATAAAAGGGCCTATCCTGACCCCTAGTTAATTAATTCAATCAAGTTTTTGACCACTTCGGCAGCCTACCTCTGGCATAGCAATTGTCTACGGTTAGCGATTATGCAATTATATATATAAAGATTGTCGAATATTGGACTATAGCCTTTTTCTTTAAATTAAAAGAAGGTATATTATAACTAACAATTCGACCCCGTGCTCAACCAAACAAGACAAAGTCGTCACTCGTCAGGGACCGACCGATCAAAAGAAAAATGAGAAAATAAGAAAAAGAAGTGAAGAAGCCTTGGCATTCCGTCTAAACAAACAACAAACAAGATATTACAAAAAAAGGAAAAGGAAAAGTAAGACAACTCAAGACGCCCAAATAGTACATACGTAAGTAGAAGCAGCAATGGTAGTAGTAACAGATAAGAAAAAAAAGAGATAAAAGATGATATTTTACTTCGTGTCTTCTTCCGATGATGTTGTCCTCGGCCTCAGCCTCGTCCTTGTTTTGCTTTCTATTTCCTTTAGGGAAATAGATGTTCGTCCTTCAAAATAAATGCTGCTGTCCTCCAACCCAATGTCCCCAATGCTAATAAAAAACATATGCAAACTCAAACCAAGTTTAAATGGTCCAACTCATTCATATCGCAAGATTTCCTCGATCTTCCGCCGCAGTTCTTGAGCTTGTTGCAACTGATCCGGAGGAATGGCACTCGTCTGAAGGAGGAGAAGGAGGGTTTCGCAGATCCGCTCGGCAATGACATCGCTGCCGAAGACGGCGCCTCCGAGACGCACGGTATCCCGGAACCAGTGGTCAATGACGTAAAGCAAGTCCTTGGCGATGTATTTGCGGTTGGAACCGTGGAAGGGGGCCTCATCAATGTAGAACATAGATTCGAGGACGGCGTAGAGGGCCTCGTGCGCGACACCCAGGTCGAGGAAGAGGTCGACAATCCAGGTGGCCGGGGCGACGCCGCGCTGGTGCTCGAGGGAGTAGCGCTCCAGCAGGGGGAGGATGATGGAGATGGGGAAGACGACTTCGGACATGCGGAGACGACCGCCAAGGTTGCGGACCTTTTCGGCGACGGCTTCGAAGGGAGGGATCTCGCCCCTCTCGGCGACTTCATCGTGCAGATTTTGGAGGAGGTGTTGCCACGTAATTTTGATGTTGGCAGGGTCGCGATAGTCGGCGGCGTAAAAGATCTGGAGACAAATGTCGTAGTAGCTAGCGGGGTCGGCGTATTGGTTGAATAGCTAAGGGTGGTCAGTATGATTGATTCGAAATGTCTCGGCGGCATAAAACTTACTGTGCTAATATCCATGATCGCACCGTCAACATCACGGATGACCTCCTCTCGGCGATCCGCCTCAATCCGCCTATCATCCCGGAGACGCTGCAAGAGATCGTCCTGGATGTTTGCAACATCAATTAGATTGGAAATTTCGCGCAGAAGTCGCTGTCGTTGTTGCCGTCCCACGTCTGGCGTGAAGATCGAGGCATTGGCTCTGGCCCGACCCAGATACTCGATTCTGCGGCTAAGGGGAAGCGTAAAAGCACTTTGAGCGAGGTTGTATTGCACCTGGGCCGCGTCGAAGAATCGTTGCGACTGAGCGTAGTATTTCCATAGCAAATCGGCGTGGGAAAGATCGTCGGTCGACTTGCGCTCCAGATACGTGACAACAAGGGGAGTGTCGGTCTGCAGTAGGCGATCGCTCCAGCCCTTCTCGAGGTACCAGTCGTACAGGCTCGTGAGGAACATCTCATCGGTAGATTTTGTGATGACCCCGTAGGCTTCATTCTGGCGTTTGGCAATGGTGGTCAATTGGCCGTCGATGACTCCGGCATCTTGAGCCGCAAGGTTGTCAACGGCAAGAATGGCCTTGAAGATAAGTTCATAGCACTGCTTCCGGTAATAGAAGTAGTCCTTGCGGGAATCCTGTGGGGAAAGGGTTAGCTGCACGCACGTACAAGGGGAAAGGTTGTTCCAAGCTATGATGTATCGTACCTCTTCCGGACGTCCATCGGCAATCCATGTCAATGCGGCGTTGCCCTTATCCGAACTTTGAGCCACATTGAGAGCAAGCTGAATTGCGCCTGTTCACGCGGTTAGTCACCACAGATCGTATTGCCCATGACACGATGAATTACATACCTGCAAAGAATTGATTCGCAACGTAACTTTCCACCGCGGAGACGAGATAGTCCATGGGCAGGCTCTCGGACACCTGCTGGAATGTATGCAAGCTCTCATTCAGCAGGTTGCGACCGAATTCCGAGTTAGAACCAGCCTCGGTAGCCCGCTTCAAACATTCCTGAGCCTTGAAGATAACCACGTCTTCGGCGCTGCAGAAGCTGCCGCACCGTCGTCGGAGGGCGTCCGCCACTGTTTCAACGTTCGAACCCTTTGCGATGTTCCTGTTGACAATCCCCTTCACTAGTTCCTTGGCGATTTCGTGGCCCTTGCCGGTGCTGAAAAGCTCCTCGAATGTGAGGGTGATGAAACGCTGTTTCGACTCAGCGGGCAATGGTGCAACGATCTCATCCACACGCTCGTCGAAGAGAACCAGCACGAACGAAATGCCTTCGATGGTGTGCGACACAAGTTGAACGAGAGAGTGAAGAGCCCTGTGTTCCGCCTGCAATGCCGTTTCCTCCTGCTTCGTTGACACCCGGGTCAGAGCCTCTGGGCCACTCAATCCTTCGATAAAGCTCTTATTCGCCGTGAAGAACTCCTGCAGAGCCGCGAGGTCTCGCTGGACGCTTTGCAGCTTCGCCGGAGCAACTGAGGGAGAGACGGTCTGCGCCCCATTGGGCGTGCTGGCCACCGTGACAATTTCCTTGTTCCAAATCGAGCGCATAAGTCGGGAGATGTAGAGAGCGATACCGGCATGTCGGGGGGAGAGCACAACGGTGTCGATCGCGGGGGTTGAGCTGTCGGCAACGACGTTTTCGTTCATCGTCGGCCTTCCGCCGTATTCGATGAATACCTTACGCGCGAACTCCAGAACGTCCGGGTCAGTGACCTGGGTCAATCGCGAGTCCGTCGACACTTCCACCCCTTGGCCACATGCCACCGCCAAGGCGGTTGCGAGAGTCTCACTCCGGCCGTACGTGCGGATGAAGCTCTTGACTTCCCCATCCAGGCCCTCCTCACCGCCGCCATTACGCGCCAATGCCGCGAAAATGTCCACGAGACGTCGTCGGCGAATGATATGAATGCCGGTGTTCGTCAGGATGGCAATCTCCGCTGCCTGGTTTTCGAATTGGACGGCAAGCTCATTGCTGAAGCCCCCGGGGGTGTTCGACGCCACGGGAGGTGGCGAACAGATGCCGATATCCTCCGCGCTGCTACCAAGTCTCAGCCAAGTTGCCGTCTCTGCGGCCTTCTCGGGGATCACATTCTCTTGCGAACGGGCCACACGCCCTGAATCAGGGGACGAGATGAAAAGCGTGTCGGTTTTCAACACCGAATCCTTGCACGTAATGCAAAAGAAATAACCCGGCGGGAACCGAGCAGCGAATCGAGTCGGATCGAGAGAGTAAATGGACTGCTTTGACGCGATCGATGTCGTGGATCGGGGCTGGCCTGGCATGGCCTGACCTTGTTCAGCCATAAGGGCCGGGTTGATGGGAGGAGTTTTGACGTGATGCGCCTGCATGCTCGTGGGGGCTGCAGAACTCGAGGGGTCTGAGGTCCAGTTGAATGAAGCAGTGGCACTGAGGTAGATGCGGTATCCGGTGGCGGTGGTTGCCATCAGGTGGTATCTCGACGCCTCGGCCGCAGGAATAGGGCTGATGGAGACAATGCGTACCCGAGCGTGAACGGTGTCATTTGTGGGGATGATATGTCCAATGTTGGCATAGATGTCGCTCGCCTGCTTGGTGATGGCCAAAGCAAGAGTACCGTCGGGTTTCATATGGAAGACTCGGATCGTGGACAGTGTCGATAGGGTGTAAAGCAAATTCCTGCTGTCATCGACCTCCATCTGCCCTACTCTTTCGAACGGTTGTGCCGTAAAGCTGAGCGATTGGGTGATCGTCGATAGGCGCGAGCTAGTGTGGCACACCTTGGAGCACCGGCCCTTGAACCATTTCTCTTCTTGCTGATAGACAAGCTCGTAGACATCGTCACTGGAAGAACCACCAAAAAAGATACGGCCCGTCGCGTCGGAAGAGGTGATCACATCAACATCAAGGCCACGAATCGATACCGACATGCCGGTCTGGTATAACGTCACTTGTCGCGCTCCAGCTGCCGTTGCTTCGCAGCCCATTCCGAGCAGGATAACGTCAACCGTCGTGGAGATGACCAGCAGGTGAGTGATGGAAGGCAGGAACACGCCGGGGCGAGGTTTCGCGAGGCGCACGGAATTAATGCTGTTCGGCTGGTCCTCAAATCCCACCAATTGAGGGTTGGGATGCGTATAGTCCCAGATGTAGAGGGCGTTGTCAATGGCAACCCACGCGTGATTCAGCTCGGCGAAGAGACCCATGCTCGTCGAAACCTGGGCACGATTATACTGATCGAAGATTTGATCAGGGATATTATACATCTTCACTTTCTGGAAAGGGTACCATGACGGTACCACGGGCATGTCATAGTCGGACGAGAATCCCTCTGTACAGCGAGTGTTAGCAAGGGACCACCGGGCATTTCCACCCGACAACACGAGGGGAGGGCCGGTCACTTACGCGAGAGATAGTTGTCCAAGTCCGGGTAGCGAGCCTCCTGCAGTAGAGTATCATTGATCGTCCGCGCGCCCCGCTCCTCCGTTCTCAATGTCTGACTTTTCGACTTGGACGCCGCGGGAGGAAATTTGGGAAGCGAGGCGGGCGCCGGTACGGCTGCATCGGCGGAGGGAGCAGCAGCTGGCGGTTTAGGCACGGGATTAGGCACGGGAGCTGGAGTCTGGAAGTATGCGCCAGGAAGTGGCCTCCGTGGCGGCGTAGCCATCGGAGGTAAATTGGGATAGGACATGGTGCGGTCTGACAGTCCGATGCAGGCCTTTGGGGGGGCGGGTTGAGGGAAATCGTCGCGCTCCCCGGGGCGTGTTCGACGAAGATTGCTTCGGCGCAGGGATCGTAGGGGGAGCGGAAAGAGATGAAATCGGAGGAGAAAGAAGCACGAGGGAGGAAGAGGAGGAGGGATGGAGGAAAGAGTCGCGACCTCGAATTGAAGGGTTGGAAGCAAGAGAGCCAGAAGAAACACAGGAAGAGTGACCGACAGAGAAACAAAATTGTGCACGGACCCGGCAGTTCGAGCTGCTCTCCGCCTTTCGCTTTTCCCTCTCCGCCCGGATGTCTTCACCTCTGAGAAGATTCAATTTATTATCTGACTCCATTGACACATTCACCAACGGCCATCATGTTCCGTCCTCTACGATTCACCCCCCGGGTCAACCTCCGCCCCCTGCGATGGAACTCCACCGCCAGCCCGGCCTCGCCGCCGCTGATGGGCAAGATCCGCACCGATCTCAAGGTTGCCATGCGAGCCAAGGACAAAGATAGGTACAGTGGAATCCTTTCTGCTCTGAAGTGCATTCAATAATTGTTAATCTCGTGATCTTCAGGTTGAACGTTCTGCGCGCCCTGATCTCCGAGACCAACAATTCGGCCAGAAGCCCATCGCCCATTCAAACCGACCTGCAGCTCTTGTCGCTCATTCGCAAGCGCGCCGCCAATGCCAAAGAGGCCTCGAAGCAATTTGCCGAAGCCGAGCGACCCGATCTCCAGGAAAACGAAGACAAGCAGATCACCATCCTCGAGGAGTATGCCAGCCAGGTCGAGACCATGAGCCTGGACGATGTGAAACAAATCGTCTCGCAGGAGATCTCCAAGCAGCAGGAGGGAGGCAACAAGGCGAACGTTGGCCTGGTGCTGAAGTCGCTCTTCGCTCCTGGCGGTGCCTTGGATGGTAAACCGGCCGAGAAGTCGGAGGTTGCCAAAATCGCCAAAGAGCTTGTTGCTTCTGCTTGAGGAGCATGCTTCTCCCAAGAGAAAAACAAAAACGAAAGAAAACTGTATATTATCCACTTGTACTATTGTCAATTGATATCCACTCCACATCTAGCCAGACTACGATGACGAATTGAGCCCGAAAAGCTCTTATAATGGGAAATGACAGACGGCCCAACGGCCCAAACCTTGCCTGATTATATCCATTCATATGCAAAAGAAACTAGAGTCAACACAAGAAAATCATGTATCGTGTCAAACAGGCGCGTTAAGACTGAAACTAAAAGAACCCTTCCAGCGCCAATGTTGTATGTAAATCCTCCGGACATGCGCCCTCATTATCTACGGCTCCCAATCGCAAAAATGTCGCTGACAAGCCTACTAGATGTGCCCAAACAGATCCGTACAGTACATTGTGAAGCGATTCAGGAATAAAACACGGTGATCCCGCCAAGAGCAGTCATGAGAACTCCTAGCCATAGCCATCGATCGGGATTGACAAGATCCTCGCGTTTAATCAAGTCCGTCATCCGGAAAACCGAATCTGTCTCGCTGCCGACAATGCGTTTGCGCTTTCCATTCTCTGTGACTGACTCCAAGGACTTCGTCGGGAGCATCTGTGGCGGCCGGTAGGCGAGATACATCGGATGCATGGGCGAGTCATCGAAATAGTGCAAGTCGAGACGTTGAACGTTGTGGTATGGATCAATAGAAACCTTGAAGGACTGAAGGGGTGTCAGCGTCAATAACAAACAACACGACTGAGAGGCATATACATTGAACCGTTCGGTCTGGTTGTATCTCGTGTAAGTTCCTAGGGACGACGAGCAAGGATCTGACTCGAGCTGCCGCCCGTCTCTCTTGATCGGTGACAGTTCTAGGACACCATCGCTACTCAAGGTAAACGTGCCATGCTGCCATTGCATGATCCCTTTGGGACAGGAAGGGTCCGTGGCTGTAGTGGTTCAATCCACGCGCGTCAGCATGTGCCGATGAGGGACAACAAAACCATCAGGGTGTAGATTTGAGGCACTGACGATTAGCAAGGGCGCGATAGTACGCCTCTTCATAGTGGCCATCGGCTGTGAACGAGTACGAGATGCCTGGTAAATCCGGCTCGATCAGCTTGTCGTCAACGGGATCGTAGAAGCCCTGTCCGATGCATTAGTGAGAGCCCACATTTGTGCGTCCTCAAAGGTAAAGCGTACTGGACCTGTCTCAACGCTGCGGGACTTGGTAGTCCAAGTGCCGACCAGATCGGCGACTTTGGCGGCATTGACGGTTGTTGCCAGTAAACCGAGATACAAGAACCCCACAATCATGGTGGAAGGTCAGTCTGGCAAGAGATGAAGCAGAATGGGCGCGAAGGACATGAGAAAAGAAAGGGCGAGGCGGCATCAAGGGCGCAACGAAGGCCTGCCTGCCCGGTGGAGTATGCCAGTTGCATACAAACAATGTCGATCGCCCAGCAATGCGCCAAGCCCGCCTCGATCCAGTCTTCTCTCCTCCTCTCCTCCGCCATTGTTCGTGACTCCCCCTCATCTTCGATCTTGACCGCTATCGCATCCCGGCAGTCAACATGATGTCAGGTCTTCAAGTGGCCAAAAAGGACCTTCGTAAAAGGATCCGCGATGTCCTGCAGACAATCCCCGCGGATTCCATCGCGCATCAATGTCAGCCAAACACCTCGCCGGGACTGGGTGAAGACAAGCTGACACGCCACAGCCAGAGCTGCCACCAGTAAATTGTTCTCGCTGGAGGAGTACCGGACTGCGCGGCGGATAGGAGTCTATCTCTCCATGCCGACGGGGGAGCTGTCCACCACGGCCATAGTGCAGGATGCGCTGGCAGCGGGCAAAGAGGTGTTTGTACCTTACATCCACAACCTGGAGTCTCCGGCGACGCAACAGAACACTTCCGTAATGGACATGTTAGCTCTAGAGTCGATGGACGAGTTTACGTCGCTGACACCTGACCGATGGGGAATTCCGTCGCTGGCCAAAGAGCAAGTAGCTACGAAGAAGAACTGCCTCGGAGGAATTGGCATCTCCCCCGCAGTCTCACGGGCGACGGAGGGCGAGTACGGGCTGGACCTGATCGTAATGCCAGGAATGGCGTTCGATGCAGGATTCCGGCGTCTAGGCCATGGGAAAGGTTATTATGATCATTTTTTGACTAGGTATTCGAAAGAAGCTGAGAGCAAGACCGCGACGCCAAAGATGCCTCTACTCGGTAAGAAAAGAACGATCCCCCTCTTGCTTAAACATCAAACCCTACCCAATTGAATATTCTCACAGCTAAATCCCGTTCAGTTGCCCTCTCCCTCAAGGAGCAATTGATGTCCGCGACTGAAGAAATCCCCGTGGCAAGTCACGACTGGCTAGTAGATGTCCTCATCGTGGGCAATGACCGGTGCGCCTACCGCCAGGGCTGATCGAAGAAAAACCGAACAAGATAACATATCCTCGCATGACAAGAACCTCGTGTACGTAGTAGATGTGCATATAATTGTTTCCCTCCCAACGGTACCGCGCTCTCTCGATTAAAAGACAGGTGTAGATTTTGGTCGTGAAACAAGCGAAAAAAATGAATTAAATTGTTGTTTTTGCTTTTTCTTCCATTTCGGTCTTCTCGGTATTTAATGTTCGCACCCTCGTTAGGATCACTGGACGGCTTGGATCAGTGACACATTGTCACCCTTGAGCAGGATTTGGCCTGGTATCGCGGTCAATCCGTTAGCATCGAAGAAAATCCCCATCCAACATCATTATCAAAAGGTTCATACCCAGGGGCCTGCGCTTCTCCTCCTCCGTCTTCGTTGGCAATCGGACCTCCACGGCGTCGTCAATGACCAGGTTCATGAACTCGTCGAATCCCTAAGCCATGCAATCAGTAAGATGTTCGCGCGTCGAAGCAACACAGGAATGCCCATACCCGAATCTTGCCCTCTATCCGGAAAGCCAGCTGCTCATATAGCCAGACCGAGACCGTGGCTCGTTGCTGGAGAAGCTTGAAGATGAAGTGAATCGGCGCAAGCAGCGTCTTGCGAGCAGCTCCACCGCCTCGACCGGTCATGGTGGGTAATCGACGGGCGGAAAGGGGAAATTAAATAGAGAGGATAAGCAGAAAGAATAAAAGACTGATGCGATATTAATAGTCAGTCGGTCGGGGCAACAGGAGAAGGGGGGATGGTGGGAGTTGGGGGAGTAAAGAAGGAAGGGAAACGGTGAATTCCGAGAGAGCTCGACTTTGTCGCAGCCGCCGCCAAAAAGCGCGGCTCACCAACTTTTCCCTTTTGCCGGCCGCCGTCACTCGCATCCCACTTCCTTCTCCTTGTGACTCCAACTCCACCACCTCTTCTCACGCTCTCGCTCTTTCCCATCTTCCTCGGCCTCCCAAACACGCTCTCTGGCACCCCGTCGCCCTTCTTCTTTCTCCTCTTTTCTCTGGGGCTCGTTGAATGGTGGTTCATGACTGTATCCTATAGGTGTTGAGCCTCTTGGCCTGGCTAGTCAACCCCTCATCTTCCCCGTTCCTTTCTCTACTAAACAAAACATCGCCCCCCCCTCCTCCCCTCCTCCACTCGACGACTATGGCCAGTAAGGATGGTTCCGCTGGGCAGGCCTTTGGCCCTGTTCTGGCTGCCGTTGCTACGATGCAAGGAAATGTTTCACGATCGGAAAAGACACATGCTCACGAGTTCCTGGAGAAGTTCCAGAAATCGGTCCGTTCTCTGCCCCTTCCGAATAACCCCTCCTTGGTCTTTTGACAGACCACCTGCTTCTTCTTTCTCGATCGATTGACTATGGCTAATCATAATTCATTGCTGCTTATAGATAGAAGCATGGACCATTACGCACGAGCTTTTGCAGTCCCCCGATGTTCCTGTCGAGGCCAAACTTTTCGCGGCGACTACGTTGAAAGGAAAGGTGAGGCGCTGCCGTCCTCCAGGACACGGAAATACCAGGATGCTGACGACACTAGATCATGTTCGATTTG